TGAAGTTGTGTTGCATGCTCTGTTAGGAAAGGCCTGATCTTCCTGATATTGTGCATTGCAAATTAGCATGATCAAGCTGCCCTTGTAATTTGGTCTGTGAAAGTCAGCTGGTCATCAAATATTACAGTACTCCAAGATTTCTGATCAACCTTGATGGGTTGATTGAGGAAGACTCTAGCTGGATAGTGAAGTCGTGCTGTAGAGACTAGAGATGCGCGGTTGGCGGTTATAGCCGCGGATCGGGCGGACGACGTGATTAAAACAAATATTTTAATTAAATTCGGGCGGGCGGTTGAACCAAATTATGTGCTAAAATGCGTTTTCTATTAGGCTACAATGAAAATATTGTACAGTAGCCTATCAGATAAGGTCAGTGTGAAGAGGTTCAGTGTGTGTGGAAGGAAGAAGACAGGGTCGGCGTGACTAGGACTCGGGTTTATTCAGAAAAACAAAAAGCAACGAGGTGCACAGTAGCGCATTCGCCTCCATAAACAAAACACACGATCCAACACTATTGTTTCTCAGTCTCGGCTGCAGTAGCCGCGTGCGAAGTCCCAGTCCAACTCTCTCTCTCTCGCTCTCTCATTGCCGCCGGTTATATGCGGTCTCTCCGCAGCAATTACATCAATCAGACACAGGTGTGTTCATCATCTGCACTTGACCTACTTACTCACCGCACTGCTCCGTCCTTTCTCTCTCGCTACAGACTTCGCAAAATCACGCAGTCAGGTTTGCCGAAGGATGTATTGGATGTATACGCATTGTCAAAAGCGTCACTATATGACGCCCTAGGATGAGAATGCTTTGGATATTTTATCTTTTTCTGATCATTCTCTGTAAACCCTAGAGATGGTTGTGAGTGAAAGTCCCAGTCGATAAGCAGTTTTCTGAAATACTAACAACCAAAGTCACATACATCACTTTTCTTCCCCATTCTGATGCTCAGTTTGAACTTCAGCAGATCGTCTTGACTGACCCTGTGTCCCAATGTCCATCCTAAACAATATGTGAGATTTAAAAGTGTCCCAAAGTCTCATCCCATAGTTTATTGAAAAGAGTACGCCAGAAGTCCCCGGATAATCTACTATTTCTGGTAGATTTTCGAGGTGTGGATCCGTGCACACTACAACAGTTAATATTGCTCCCAACCCATTGCGCTTTGGCTGAGGATTTGGTTCAGAGCTACAAACACGAGTAAAAAGTGTTAAAAAACTACAAAACATGACGGATGTGCGTGACTAACGGTTAAGTGGAGAGGTTTGAGTGACTAATCATCAGAATTTAAGTTGATAAATTTATATTTTATTTGCAACAACAATGTGACTTTTTATAAAGATCCGTTTGGCCATTAACTTTTAAATATCTCGCTATGCATTAACATGAGAAGATTTTTCCACATGACAGATCCGCGACTGCGATGTTAACTGTGATAAGATGATTGACAGGCCAGTTTATGGTGACAGGATACGTGTAACAAAGTGACAGAGAGCAGCCGTTAAAGACACTATTTTATGATGTTATAAGATGTCCCACAGTGTATACACATTCTCAAAAGTATACTTTTTCTTCACAAAAAGAGTATATTTTTGGGTGTAGACTATAAGTAGGTGAATTGGGACGCACGTCTTCATACCTAAATGCAATGAGATTCTACCATGTGATTGGCTGATTAGATATTTGTGCTAATGGGCAGGTGATCATGTGTAGCTAATAAAGGTAGCTAATATTTTGAAAGCTGAAAAATGCCACGAATATAGGAAGGCAACAAGGCAATTCAATGGTCGTGTCACTTCCTGTTCACCTTTTGAAAGGCAGCACAGATGTATCCTTCACTGCCTATGATATCCCATAATCCTGTGCTTTCCATTCTGTGACAGTTGGGCTAAAAATAAAGATGGCACCTGAAAATTGCTGTTGTTTGCTAGTTTGGGTGTAAAATAAAATTTTTGACCAAAATTTTTCACCAAACCAAAGCTCTCTCTATTTTGCTGTAGATCATTAAACCGTCACGCTGTCTCAGTCTGTCCGAAATCAGTTTCGTGAGGGACCATCATGCCCGAATCATTGCCTGATAGACAGTGTTGTAGTCGAGACCACCTCACTCGAGTCCGAGTCGAGACCGAGACCAGAGAGAGTCAAGACCGAGTCCATAGAGAGTCGAGTCCGAGACCAGAGACGGTCGAGTCCAAGTCGAGACCGAGACCAGTGACGGTTGATTACCTAATTTACTTTTATTTACTTAGAGAAATCCTTTTTTTTTTTTTACTGAATTTACTTAGAGTTTAAAAAATATAATCAGTTTAGGGTAAAAAGGCCACGTAGGTGGTGTTAAAAGTAATTTTATTACAATTTGTCATGCGCAGTTGCGCACTAGAAAATCACCAGTCACTGGGCGTGTCAATCAATTTAAAGAAATATTTTTTTAACATACATTAATAATCATGAAAAATAATTTGAATTGAACACGAGTGGACTCGGGAATAAGTCCGAGTCCTAAAAAAAAAATGTTCGAGTACGAGTCAATTCCGAGTCCAAATGCACACGAGTCCATGACAAGACCAAGACCATTAAAATATGGTCTCGAGACCGAGTCCGAGTCTCGAGTACTACACTGCTGATAGATAAGACAGCAAGGGCAGCTGCCATAAGCTTTAGGACGCAGTCTAAATGTGTATTTAAATATCTACATTTTAAAAGGTCGATCATTGTTGTCCATTCCAATTAGTTTCACTTTAAGGTACATTTTAAATCGTTATGTTTTAATAATGCTTTAAATAACTTCTGTTGATGTGTTGTCTAACATACTAAAGCACATGTAAAGTACCCTAAATATAGTAAATACACACACACACCCTGTAAAAAGTCATTATGAACAATCACAAAGGTCTCACTAGGAAAGCCACTAGATGGTGATATTGCTCTTACTTTCACTCATCTGAAGCTCCCGCTCTCATTTAAAGTCAAAGATGATCTTCTGAAAACAATCTTAACAGAGTTGCTTTTCACACTGTATGAAAATAAACCCACAATGATTGCCCCTGATCTAATTTAAGGACATCAAGAGACAAGTTTTAAAGCTCTCATTCTATGTGATTGAAGCCGTCAGTCCCTCATTCAGTCATAAATGACCATTCATCACTGAGAGCATTTGTTCAAGCTGCTGTTATCTTTCATAAATATTGACTTCCCCTGGTTAAAAGCTCCCCTTCACACCTCCAATAGATGCGGGTCATCGAGACGGCAATGGAGAGAATGGCCCGCTGTAAACAGCCTAAGAAAAGGAAACAAACCGTGCCTGTGCTCTTCAAACAAACCACACAATTGCGTGTGTGTCGGTAATCACAAGCTATTCAAGTATGCAAATACTGCAAGCACAAAAAGAAGATCGGGAAGCATCGTGGGACTTTTTTTCAGTCTTTTGATCAAGTCTTCAGGATTGCGTGACTACCTGCAGGATGAGAGACAGATGCCTACAGAAACTGTCATGTGTGTCTCCAGAAAGAATAACACATCAAACCTGGCTTCATCAGGCCTCAGTTTAGTGAGTAGATGCATTTTAGATGCAGGAGTGCTTTTCAATGTTTTGATGCAATACTGAATTTCAGAAAATGAATTCTGGCATGTACTTACATTGTCCGAAGTGGACTATCTAAATAAAGTGTAGGCTACTAATAAAAAAAAAAATGAGTTTCAGTTTATTGAAGTTTGAAGATTCTTATATTTGATCTCATTAGGACTGGTTTACATTATGATCATAATTCTTTTCACATTGCTCACTAAATCATGACCATTTTATAGTGCTACTTTTTCTGCAGAGACTGCACTGTGTTAGCTTATTGTCACCTGTAAATAAACTATATTCAGACTTGCAAATTAACATATTTTAGGATTTATAAATATTTGCATCATGTATATATTTACAGTTTTACCATAATTTAGGATTTATAGCTTTATAGTCTGATATCTTTTTGGAGTTAAAATTACGATCACACTTTACATTAGGGTTCAATTCTCACTTTTAACTAACTACACTCACAAACAATGCTGGGTTGTTCGAGCCCAAATTTGGGAAAAATATGGACAAACCCACATGTTGGGTTAAAAATGTAATTTCAATTTTAACCCAACTTTCACTTCCAACTGTAAAATTTTTTTTTGCATTTTCTAACCCAACATTTGGGTTTGTCCATATTTGACCCAAATTTCGGTTGAAACAACGCAGCATTTTTTAGAGTGTATTAACTGACTTTTGCCTAAATAAACTCCTTATTACTGCTTATTAATAGTTAAGTTTAGGTATTGGATTGGATTTCAGGATGTAGAATAAGGCATTAATATAATAAAAAGTCAAAATCCTATTAACATGCATGCTAATAAGCAACTAGTTAATAGTGAGAATTGGACCCTAAACTATAAAATTGTATGTTCAGATATATTTAAATATATACTTACATCTTTATGATTTAGATCATAGCTTTTTATACACACCGTATCTTTTAATTTGTTGCAAATATATTCAGGATTTACAACTGCATTTATGATTTATAAATATAAAAAAAACTCTAAACAATTCTGGGTAGTTTGAACCCAAATTTGGGTCAAATATGGACAAGCCTAAATGTTGGGTTAAAAATGTAGTTTCAAATTTTAACCCAACTTCAAGTTTCACTTTCAACTGGTACATTTTCTAATTGCATTTTTTGAGTTTGTCCATATTTGACCCAAATTTGGGTTGAAACAACCCAGCATTTTTTAGAATTAAGTTATTTTGCATTCTCAATGTTTGTACTTTAAATATGTTTTTATATTCTTAATCATTATGTAAAGTGGATTTAAAATATAGCTACCTTTTAAAACAATGCATTCATAAGATTGGTAACGCACGCCACTGAAGTTTGTTGACTGTTGACTCGTGTAGGACAGTGTATGTGTGTGTTTGTGCGCTGTGTGTGTCAGATGAGTGGGCTGGTCTTCAGAGAGAGAGACACTTCACAGCAGTCCGACTCTCACTTCACTCCCAGTCTCTACAGAGGAGAACAGCAGGAGAACAGCTCAGGATACCCACCAGGACAAGAGACTAACTTCGGGACGAGAGAAACTCCGCTGCAGGAATCTAGCAGCATCAACTTTACACTCTTTCTCCCCCCAAAAAAACTCCTCCTCACACAAGTTTATAGCGCTGCTGGAAGACATCACAGACAGCCTTGCTATCAAGACACTTGGAGTGATTTTACCCAAAAGAACAAGGTAAGGAACCTCACATCAAATTGAGATGTTTTCTTGACTGTTTAGGGTTTAGTTCCCCGTGCATCTCGAGGAGAAGTTGCGTTTAAAATCCCCAAGGATCATGTGCACTATTTTTGCTCAGATGTAAGCATACATGCCTTTGCATTTCCCAAATGCTCATGAAAGAGTTGAAACACTTGTGCAGTCACGGGGAAGCGGAGCGGGACTCCCCGCGCTCTTTGAACCTCCTGCCAGAACACGAGCGACGGGGCTTTTGCGGTCTGCGAACTCCTGGAAGTGAACGCTTTCAAACAACTCTGCATCAAGCCCCAGCTCGCAGGCTCTTTTAATGTTCGTCTGGATATCAGAGGTGCTCTTTGGGATGGGAGTTTTTGGACATTGTGTTGGAGACGCAGTTCCCATGCGCTCCCACCCGCCAGACGCAATTCATCACAACTCGTCCTCGCCCTCTCAATTGTGCGTCTGTTATTCAGCCTCTTTCATAGTGTTAAATGCTCCTGTCTCCGCTGAAGGGAAGGCATATTAGGAGTTTTTCTTAAATATATCTGCTTGTTAGGAACTTATCCAAACCTTAACGCTTAAAAGCACCTGCACGATGCGACTTTTCGCCTCATATCTGCACTGCTGATGCACGAATGAACTGTGCGAATAGTTTGACAGGAACAACTTATTAACACAAGTCATGCATTTATTTTCGGTTTAAGTAATTATTACATCAGGTTTATTTTTTTATCAAGGTTAGATTAGAGAAAGTGAATGAATGTTATGGAGCGCTATAAGTTTCAAGATGTTCTTCCCATTGTTCAGGGGACAATTTGTGGCATGCGAATACACCTTAGGGATATTTATTTTAAATGCATGCAGAGCTGATGATAGCCTGACACAACATTAATCAAAATCTCACAAATTACATCATAATTAAGTTTTGCTCTATTTTAATCACATTTTAGCCGTGTATCAAATTAACTTTAAAAGTACACATGCACGTAAGCCTATAAACATTGCATAAATAATTGTTGTATAAAAATAAAAAGATGAGAACTTGTATGACATTTCAATTTCACATCAGCTTCCGTATCGGTCCCATTTGCATCCTTTTCTTCTTGAGTTTGAATAGTAAACTGTGTGGATTTGTTTAATCTCTCCGATGGGATTTCAAGGATTAGTCTCCTATCAGACACAAACAACTATGAAGTGGATTGCTGGCTACCTGATGTGGTTCCTGGTGAGAGTGATACTTTTCTCTGGGCCGGGAGACGTAATGAAAGGCAGACTCAGAATGAGGGAATTTGAATAACTGTATTTAGTGGCGAGGCCAAGCTGCACTGCCTCCCATCCTCTCTCGGAAAGAATGAAACAGGAACAAAAGTCTAAGAACGGGAAGGTCTGTGTTGCATAGCGTATCTAAACCCTGATTTGCATATGAAAACTCTGGCCGTGAAAGAATTCCGCCACTGTTGCAATGGCCATTTGTGTGTCCGACGGAGTGACAGTCCGATGCGGAGATACAGTCGTCCTCACGCTGGTCTTTGTGGGGTCTGACGTGACTGTGTGTCATGTCCTGTTGAGGAGAACCAGGGATTTAATCGCAGCTTTTCGAACTTTTTCTGACCCCCTGCTCTTTCATTTCCATATCTGTTTGTTCCTAAAGCTTCAGACGGTTCATTCAGCGCGTCCCCTCAGCGAAACAACGTTCGTCATTTTGGTTCTCGGTAGGTAGATGATAAATAAACGCTAGTGGCTTCTTTATTTCCCAGCATGCCTGTTTGTGCACTTCTTTCAATGTGAAAATGGAAAAATTGTCCCTTGAGTCTGTGAATATCTATGAGACCTCAACTTCAGCTATGAAGTGAGCATCAGTCAGGGGCCTTCCCATTCAATGGTCTGTTTGAGAAAGTGGCTCAGCTGCCGATGGACATTCCCGAATGCTGGACGAATTGGGAATCCTGAGATAAAAACTAATGTAAACGGGACATCCCAGTCTGGACATTCTCGAGTGGCTTTGACTTTATTAATGATCTCCCAATCGTTTAGAGACACACACTCTTCCCCAAACGCACACGTATCTTCAAAGATTTGACTCAACAAACGCTGTTCTGGGTCCTTGCCCAAGTAAACAAGCAGCGGACAGCCAAGCGTCCACCGTGGAGTGCTGGACCTCAGCTCTCAAAACCGGCCTCTAACAATTAGTCACTGTGCCATTTGACTGTCCAAGAGCACCAGCGCAGCTCAGGGTTGGCATAAAAGTACAGTCGAAGAACATGTCAAGCACCTCAGCTTTAAAGTCTCATTTCTAAGGTGAGAAAAACATAGTGGCTGTTCACTTGCACAGTCATTCCACAGACTGATCTCATGAAGTAGCGTGTGTATGACGCGCCAATTCGTATTTCCATTTTTGGCGTGCTATCAAGACGCATAATCGCTTTTCAGCGTGTTTATGAACGCCGTTGACTTAACGTTACATTACTGTATATATAAATATATGACTTACCTCAACCCCGTCCCTAAACCTACCCGTCACTGGAGTCAATGGCATTCATGACTGTTCCCTTACCACCTCCCCAGATGTAGATCTACATTTTGCTTCGTTTCGCGCGGACATTTGTTGGCGTGTACAGACACGCGGAATCACTCGGACGTTAATGGCGTAGACATACACGCGGATAGCTCAAAATGCGTAGAGATAACACGCCACTTGACTCGAACGTGGCATGTATGTTTACGCAAAAGTCATGATGTCATGTTGCGTTCCCTTATCAACACAAACCAAGTACCACAAAATTAGGGAATTGAGACACACTGACACTGCTGTGTTTGTCAAATCCTACTCCTTTTGTGCCGACGTCACAGTTACGTCACGGCGCTAGCTGGAACAAAATGAAAACTGGAGGCGGCCAATACAAACCAGCACAGATTCGGCTACATAATGAGCTTAGATTAGTGTTACTATTATTAAATGTCATCTTGTTGTGTTGTTTGGTGCAAGAATTGATGAAAAATGAATATGCTGTATCTGGAACTTTTATTTCTAGAAAATATTCACATCATTAAAATCGCACTGTAATGTCACTCTTTACATTGTCGGCAGAACTGCGGATCGTACACACAAGTCTTGTACAGGACCATATAGGCATCTAAAGATTTAAATGCCCTCAGTTTCTCTTTACGATCGGTTTCTCTATGAGGTAGGTGTAGAAGTCAGGCCACTCAACCGAGGTAACGTACGTTAATCCTGTCAGATCGTCCATGCATTGAGTGAGCGTGTAGGCGGCTTCGGGTCGGCCAATCTGGTTCCGTCCATTAAAATAACTTTTGGAAATAACAATCGCGGCCCTACACACTGAGTGACCTTACGCATTAAGGCCATGTCCACACTAATACGTTTTAGTTTGAAAATGTATATTTTTCTCTTCGTTTTGGCCTTCTGTCCACACTGAGAAAGCGTTTTAAGTCAACAAAAACGTATCGTTTGGAAAACGCTCTCCAAAGTGGATACATTTGAAAAGGCCAATCTGGTTCCGTCCGTTAAAAATAACTTTTGGAAATAACAATCGCGGTCCTGGACACTGAGTGACCTTACACATTAAGATAATATCGGGTTTTCTCCAGTCATTGTTAAAAAACAAGCTAACAATACTTGCTAACTAACGTTAGTGAAGCGGCCAGAGGGATCGTTCTGCCTCCACCTAAGCTCCGCCCACAAAAAAACGTCACCATGTTTACCAACTGAAAAGGGGTCCATATCTTGCAGGGTTTACATCCAACCAACACACTTAGCTGTGGGTGTGTATCTGAAATCCAACATACCCTCATTCACTATTCCCTATACTAGTGGTTTTCAGTCCTGGTCCTTGGGGACACACTGCTTTGCAGATTTTGCATGTCTCTGTTTTCCAACACATTCAGTTCAGTTCATGAGGTTCTGAAGATCTGAACCAGGTAAGACAAATAAGAGATACAAAATGTGCAAAGACCAGGACTGAAAACCACTAGTGTATTCAAACGAGTGAGTGTATTTGGCACCGGAAGCGCCCTGGACGCAATGCTCAGTGCATCCATTGTATTTTGGGGCCGAATGTGAGCAGTCGACAAGGGCAGTGTTTCCCAACCCTGGTCCTGGAGGCACACCAGTAGTGTACATTTAATCAAACTCACCTGAAACAACTCATCAGCTCATTAGAAAAGACAAGGGAGTCAGATAAGGGAGACATCCGAAACGTTTACTGTTGGTAGGGTTAGGAAACACTGCACTATGGTTTCAGACACCACTACAAATGGCTGTCCCCTATATAAGGGTTTGTGAATATCATATGAGTGATCTAAACCAAAAAAAAAAGTCTTATTCGTGCTGCAGGATACCGGGATTGTTAGAATAGATCTGCCCTACAAAATCCAACATTGTCCCCATTGTTTTCGTCTGTTGAGGTTGGTTTATTTCCCCCTTCTCCGAGAGGAGCCCAGGGGACGAACCTCACAGTAAATGTCTGTTCAGAGGTTTCGGGAAGCGCTGACAGAAGCTGAGGGAAACTCACCCATTCTCCAGTTTCAGGGTGTCGTGTCTCTGTTGAAACAGAATCTGAAATGTTTCCCTTATCTCGGTGGAAACGAAGGCGATGGTGGAGAAAGTTCACATCTATAGGGAGGAGAGGCTGTATGGAAGCAGCATGTGTGTGTGTGTGTGCAGTCATGCATGTTTAAAAAGCAAGTGAGAAAGAAGTGACAGCCCCACACAGGTTAGTGCGATAATGATGTTCGTGGCCCGGACCGTTACAGTTTGATTGACAGGTGGTAGCTGCGCTGGTGCGATGTGTGTTTTCACCCTGTCAGTAGCATCGTACATGTGCTACTCATCTGTGTGTGTGTGTTGTTACCCCGGCTGAGCCTGTTAGTCCCCGTCTTACCTTGGTGAATTGCTTGTGAACACTTCCTGTGGCAATTAATCAGTGATTGAACCATTTAACGACAGGCTGATAGAATTATCTGCTCCTAATTGTTGATCA